GACTGTGAACCGCGGCGAGTGGGGGCCGCGATCAGCCGAACCTGCCGCGTCAGCAGGTAAATAAAACTGGCCCGGCCCGCTAGGGTGCTTACCCTGGCGAGCCGCGTGCCAAACGTTGCCGACCCCTGTTATATGCTATGCTAAAATAATGCCACTTCTCAGGAATGCTGAAAGCTATCAGACCCAGCAACTGCTTTTATACCCAGCTAGAGTGTGCGTCTATTCAATGTGATCACCTCAGTATAGATTGCTCTTGACAGTCGAGGTTGTAGTCGATCACAGACTGAATACGATATGATGCTGCTGCAAAAAAAGGCCAATGTTATTCTGAGATGTATTAACAAGAGTGTTGTATGTCAGACGTGAGAGATAATTGTTCCTTTCTACTCCGCACTGGTAACGCCTCTGGAAGAACTGTGTCCAATTCTGGATGCCACACTTTATGTGTACAAATTGGATGTGTACAAATTGGAGAATCCAGAGGAGAGCAACAAAAATGATCTGAAGTTTAGAAAACATGACCTATGAGGAACGGTTGAAAGTACTGGGTTTGTTTAGTTTAGAGAAAAGAAGGCAGAGGAGGGACGTAGCTGAAGACAGTTATGTACAAGGTTGTCATAAAGAGGACAGTAATTAATTGTTCTTCGTGTCCACCGGGGGTAGGACAAGAAGTAATTGGCTTAGTTTGCTGAAAGGGAGATTCAGGTTAGATATTAGGAAAAACTGTCTAACTACAAGGATAGTTAAGCACCGGAACAAGTTATTTAAGGAGACTGTGGAATTCCTCTCAATGCAGGATTTTAAGAATAGGTTAGACAAACCCCTGTCAAGGAGGGTGTAGGTGTAATTAATCCTGCCTTAGCCACAGGGAATGGACTAGATGACCTCTTGAGGTCCCTTCCAGCCCTATATTTCTATGATTTATTTTGGCTTTAAAGGCTTGCAAACAATGCATATATTGAACACGATGGATCAGGTCCTCAGCAGGTGTAAATCAGTATATGCTCCATTCACTTTAATCATATCTGCTGAGGATCTGGACATGTGTGCAATATACAATAGTTTATTATACAACAACAAAATAAGAAAATAAGTACTAAGAATAACCGGGTAGTGCAAGAGATAATGGCATAGAGAGTACACTTATAAAGTTTGTGGGTGATCCCAAGCTGGGAGGGGATTAGAAATCAAAGGATCTTGAAAACGGGAGAAATGGTCTGAAATAAATAGGATGAAATTCAATAAAGACAAATGCAAAGTACTAGATTTAAGAAGGAATAACCAATTACACAAATAGAAAATGGGAAATGATTGCGTAGGAAAAGGATCTGGGGGTATAGTGGATCACAAACTAAATGCACTGGTCTACAATTTTTGAGAAGTCGTCTGCTTCAGAGATAAAATG